AAAGGCCAACAAGAAAAGGTATTAAAAGCCCATCCAATGGCATCAGAACAGAAAAGTACAGGTCTACTAATAGCAAGTGGTGCACTGATGAAGTAACTGTGAAATGAACTGAATAAATTGGCTAACCACAAAGTATAATACTCTTGGTTTATCATGGATAGGTTATTTTGTTTGCTTATTTTTGTCGGGGGTGCTGAGGGTATGGTAACGCATACCGGAAACTATCATTTTTTTCCTCCTTTAAATAACTTACCAAGGCCATTCAGCTAGTATTAGGTTGGTGCTAATGTAATTGCAGTTTTTGCATTGTTGAAATTTGCTGTTTGATACTGGATTACATTCTTAAATAAATGTGGTTATATTATACATTATTTTAATGTGCATTTCTTGCTTTATGTTTTTTGCTAATGTTATTACTTGCTGTTTATATCTATTTTAGACTATGAAAATTGATGTTAGACAAAAAGCAAATAAAGCAAATTCAAATGATTTTCTTATTTGAGTGCAAAATGGGTCATAAAGCAGCGGAGACAACTTGCAACATCAACAACGCATTTGGCCCAGGAACTGCTAACGAATGTACAGTGCAGTGGTGTTTCAAGAAATATGCAAAGGAGATGAGAGCCTTCAAGATGAGGAGCGTAGTAGCTGGCCATCAGAAGTTGACAACGACCAACTAAGACCAATGACGGAAGCTGATCCTCTTACAACTACACAAGAAGTTGCCGAAGAACTCAATGTTGACCATTCTACAGTTATTTGGGATTTGAAGCTAATTGGAAAGGTGAAAAAACTCGATTAAGTGGGTGCCTCATGAGCTGAGTGAAAATTTTAAAAATCACAGTTTTGAAGTGTCATCTTCTCTTATTCTACGCAACAATAAAGAACCACTTCTCGATCAGATTGTGACACGTGACGAAAGTGGATTTTATACAGTAACTGGTGACCACTAGCTTAGTGGCTGGACCAAGAAGAAGTTCCAAAGCACTTCCCAGAGCCAAACTTGCACCAAAAAAAGGTGCCAGTCTGATCCACTACAGCTTTCTGAATCCCGGTGAAACCATTCCATCTGAAAAGTATGCTCAGCAAATAGATGAGATGCACAGAAAACTGCAATGCCTACAGCCAGCACTGGTCAATAGAAAGGGCCCAATTCTTCTTCACAATGTCTGACTGTACATTGCACAACCAACGTTTCAAAAGTTGAACAAACTGGGCTACAAAGTTTTGCCTCATCCGCAATATTCACCTGACCTCTTGCCAACTGACTACCACTTCTTCAAGCAACTTGACAACTTTTTGCAGGGAAAATGCTTCCACAACCAGCAGGATGCAGAAAATGCTTTCCAAGAGTTTGAGAATCCCAAAGCACAGATTTTTATGCTACAGGAATAAACAAACTTATTTCTTATTAGCAAAAATGTGTTGATTGTAATGGTTCCTATTTTGATTAATAAAGATGTGTTTGAGCCTAGTTAAAATGATTTAAAAATCATGGTCAAAAACCACAGTTACTTTTGCACTAATCTAATATACAGTAGTGCCAGGATTCAAATCCACATTTGCCAGACTCCAGAATCCAGTACTGAAACAGTTACCAATATAATACACTGTCCTGTTTGACAATCAATAGGCAAAAAGAAAAATGAGCTTATATTTATCTTGCATAGGTATAGCAGAACTCAGATTATACACCATAATTTGCAGGAGGTGAACTCATGGGAATTGTTCATAAAAAATCAGTTTATTAATAGTAACAGATAGACAAGTGAATTAACACAAAATCAAATACTCAGAAATCATGAACTAAAAGACAGTACAGTCTCAGGCAAATTCCTTAATTTTAATCTAAACTTGTTTCCTCATCTGCAAAATAATACTCTATTTTTCAGGATAGCAGGGAGAAAATAAAACACACAAAGCACTGAATACAATGATTACTACTTGGTGATTCTCAGTAAGTGGTAGCTCCTATCATTATCATCATTATGCCTGTACAGTTTTATATGGAGTATCAAGACAGTAATGCATACTTAAATAGTAAAATTACTAAACTTAGCTTCTACAGTCAATATTCCTTAATGATACTGAAAAATGAATCAAGAAACATCTCACTAGCCCTGGTCTATGGGGGAAAAAAAACAATGATAACATTTGAAATTTCTCCCTCTTACATATTAAATGACTCAATAATTTACTTTTAGAATTCATATTCTAAATATGAATTCACTTAAATATTCACCAATAGGCTGCTCAGTTGGCATACATCACATATTTTACTTTAGTACATTAAATAATATTAACAACAATTAACAAAGATTTCTCCTTGTCTACGAATAAACTATCTTTAAAAATAAGAAAGGGTGGCTGGGTGCAGAGGCTGACCTGTAATCCCAGCATTTTGGGAAGCTGAAGCGGGCAGAACACTTGAGTTCAGGGGTTCAAGATCAGCCTGGGCAACATGGCAAAACTCTTGTCTCTACCGAAAATACAAAAAATTAATTAGCCAGGCATGGTGGTGCATGCTACTTGGGAAGCTAAGGTGAGAGGATCATTTGAGCCCAGGAGGCAGAGGCTGAAGTGAACCGAGATCACACTCCACGCTGCGTGACAGAGTGACCTCATCTCAAAAAAAAAAAAAAAAAAAAAAGAAAGGGCAAGCTTGTACAAGGCATCACAACCCTGCAGTTGAGTATTTTTTTCAAGAACTAAAAATCACTCGAAATTTGTTATCTCAGCTTAAGTCCCACTGTTCTGAGAGAGACCCAAAGATTAAATCTATCCATTGTTCAAAGATGTAAAGAAATCAACAGTATAGGAGAAATATATGCTTCATGCATTAATCTTCACTAAAGGAAGAAAACACAAAACAGGAACCTTGCAAAGGAACTGTCATTGGACTTAACAGAGAAAAGTGAGCAAAATAAAATATGTTTAATTAAAACAGAAAAAAACTTGCCCTGTAATAAAAATCAACTGATTAAGCGCTTAAAGGTCATCTCCATTAAAAATATAGAAATTAATTCTACTTAATAACATCTTTAATCACTAGTGAGACGGCTGGCCTTGATTAAATAACATGAAACAGGATGTTCTCCTTATATGCACATTTAGCTTCTCTCACCTAATGTAAAACTCTTCATCCAGAAACAAGATGGTATAATTTAGTGAATTTAGTTGGGACTCCAAATCTCTTGCTTTTCCTATATGCCATAAATGGGCAAATATATCAGTCATTCTGGTAAGAAACTTTGTATATTATCTCATTTATGTCTTACTACAACTTTGAGCAGAAGTACCAACATTGACAGCTGAGAATAAACACTAAGAAGAGGTTAATTACCATGGCCAAGCTCACACGTCATACATGGCAGAGGCTGCATGTATGGCCTGGCTCCAGAGCACTGAGATTTTTTGAATACTAGCTCATTTCTCTTTTAAATAATAGAAAAACAATAATTTTTTCCATATTTAGACTTTTCTGAAGTAACATTACCAAGATAACTAAGACTTAGAAAATGTTTTAAAAACTTAACACTAAAGTTTAAATATATAGTCCTAAAGCTAAAACAAAGACAGGTAACAGTCAATTTTATTTAGGCTGGTAGAAATCTTAATAAACCAAGAAAGAAAAGCTAATACGATTGGATAAAGAAGTATGCAATCTCAGGTGAGACTGGTTTTTCTTGGGTATATGGGTGTAGGGGTGTGTGTGTGTGTGTGTGTGTGTGTGTGTGTGTGTTGTGTTTTGCACTTGTTAAAAATAACCAAAACAGTACCAGAGATTTCACAATCGCATACTTCTTTATCAATTGTGTTAGTTTTTCTTTTTCAGGCCAGACTGGTTTTTCTTGGGTGTATGGGTGTAGGGGGGTGTGTGTGTGTGTGTGTGTGTGTGTGTGTGTGTGTGTGTATGTGTGTTTTGTGCCTGTTAAAAATAACCAAAACAGTTGTAGTGCTTCAACTACAACTCTGTGAAACTCAAAAGAACAAGTACAGGCAAGTATGTAAACAAGCAAAACTTCTCTAAAGTCATACTCAAGAATGACATGGTGGATTTAGAACTTTCTCTGTTCTTTGTTTTATCATGGTATTACTGAATTAGCTAATAATACATATTTATTAATATATTTCTTTAGTCTACTTAATATTTATTAACAAAAGTCAAAAACAAGCTTTAAAGTATATGAATGTACCTTATATATTTATATAATAATACTTTCTACAGGTTTATCATTAGATAGCCTCACATTTACAAAGAAAAACCGATTTACAAATGTTCGTACTAACAATTTACCCAAAGAGTTATAACAAAAATAAACATTGAAGCTTTTACAAGTTAGGGTTTTACAATCCAATGTTATTTCAAAAATCCTTTTCCTTAGATCATAAAAAAGGTATTTATTATGAAGCAAATCATAAATAAAAAATCGAAATATGTTTTATGAAAAAGGGCATATTTTTGTTTTAGTTAACAATGAACAATATTTTATCTTTTCTTTTTTTGAGACGGAGTCTTGCTCTGTCGCCCAGGCTGGAGTGCAGTAGTGCAATCTCGGCTCACTGAAACCTCCGCCTCCCAGATTCAAGCAATTCTACTGCCTCAGCCTCCTGAGTAGGTGGGATTACTGGTGCTCGCCACTAAGCACAGCTAATTTTTGTATTTTTAGTAGAAAGGGGGTTTCACCATGTTGGCCAGGCTGGTCTTGAACTCCTGACCTCAGTTGATCCACCTGCCCTGGCCTCCCAAAGTGCTGGGAACATAGGCGTGAGCCACCATGCCCAGTCAAATAATATTTATCATAGCAAATACCCTTAGTACAACTACAGCGTTAAAAATAAAATTATTTCAAAAATTTACATATGAACTGCTTTAATCTTTACCACCCAAGTAATGTTCAATGTTTCAGTAACTAATGTCACATGTCAATTTTTTTTTAGGCATTGTCAACAATCTCTTACCTAGTCCTCCATGGACAGGTAAACATCAGGGATCTTACCTTGTGCTGTTCAATGGCATCTATCCATTGCTGTCTATGATCTGGATCCTGAGCACGAAGATACCAAACACTATCATTTACACTAATATCAAATCGACATTCATCAAAATCATGAGGCTGTGGAGAAAAAGTAGAAAATGAAAAGCAAAGCTAATTATATCCTTAGAAGTGTTATACCCCAAAGCCAAAACATGAACATACTCATTCTGTGGTGGGAGACTTGTTACTTTTTATTTTTCTATTCAAATAACTTATCTGAAGATGTCTCAGATAAGAATGTACAAAGGCACAGTTACCAAAAGCCATTTTTCACTCACTACTCTTACAAAAGAGTTGTCACATATGCTACAAACATCTACTTCTAAAATACAGCTAATATTTTCATCAAATGCTTTGAGTTAACTAGTGAGAACACCATGAAAAGGATAACTTTTTATTTACTTTTGAGGTGAGGGTCTTGCTCTATTGCCCACATTGGAGTGCAATGGCAGGAACAAAGGCTCACTCCAGCCTCAAACTCCAGGGCTCAGGTGATCCTCACGCTTCCCAACTGGGACTACTGGCACACACCACCATGCCCTGCTAAATTTTTAAAATTTTTTAAAGATGGAGCCTTGCTGGCCAGGCGCGGTGGCTCACGCATGTAATCCCAGCACTTTGGGAGGCCAAGGCAGGTGGATCACGAGGTCAGGATTCACGACCAGCCCAGCCAAGATGGTGAAACCCTGTCTCTATTAAAAATACAAAAATTAGCTGGGCATGGTGATGGGTGTCTGTAATCCCATCTACTTGGGAGGCTGAGGCAGAGAATTGCTTAAACCCGGGAGGCTGAGGTTTCAGTAAGCCAAGATTGCGCCGCTCTCCAGCCCAGGTGACAGAGCGAGACCTATGTCTCAAAAAAAGAAGAAAAAAAAGAAAAAAGATGGAGCCTTGCTATGTTGTCCAGGCTGGTCTCAAACTCCTGGCCTCAAACAATCCTCCCACCTTGGCCTCTCATGTTGCTGCGGTTACAGGCACGAGCTACTGTGCCGAGCTAAAAGCAGAATTTTTTTAAAGGTCAAAATAAGTTTTAGAATATAGGTTTACTACTTTTTTCTTACTTCATTATTCAAAAGTAAATACCCATTAATAATTTTATTTCATTATTCTTGATATCTTATTTATCAAATCTTATGAAATTTAACAAAGCAAGATAAAAATAATGTTAACATTTCCCTTTAAGTATCTAAAATTAACTTCCAGGCTTTTACATGTCTTTGATAGTAACAACCAAGAGCACTTCCAGCTAAAGGAAAAAATAAAATGAATATTACATAAGATCTATGTGTGCTATTTACAGAATACTCTGCACCAAGGTGTAAACATTTAGTGAAAATGTCAACTTTTTGATTCCGTGCTCTTGACTCTTAAGAATATATAAAATGAGTGTTTTACATCCTTATTTTTAATCTCAACAAATGAATTAAAACATGACAGGAATACATCACATTTACCACCTCTTTTTCCATCAGATACCGTAGAGAGAGACAATCAATGTCCTCTCCTGAAAAGATTCTTAACCTTGGAGGGAAAAGAATCCGCTCTGGGAAACACAACAGTGAACTTATTTGCTCAACAGAATTTACATCTTGTACTTCTTCCAGGGTTTATTGTTTATTCTCTCCCTCTCTTAACAACATTCACTTTTTATCTTGTCAGTTTATTTAGCAAAAACAATATAAACTAACTCTACCATTTTCTTTAGGCTATGAAACAACTTCTCTTTTAAGATTAAGATAAGAAATCATGGTTCTGACTGATTAAAGGATTCAAGTTAAATTTCCTGAATCAGTATGTGCTAGACAATAATAAGACTATAGTGAAAAGTAGAGTGTGCTAGAAAGAAGCAAAAGGGAAAAACAATGCAGATCCTGCTTCAGTAATTATAAATACAGAAAGACATAAGCAATAATGAGCAACATTCATAAATAATGATCATAAATTTAACTTAATTCTAAATATCCGGGCATCTTAAGAATCAAGTCTAATTATTGAGAATAGCATCTTGGAGGAAACGAAACATATGCTATGTAAAGCAGGAGTCCTCAAACTCTGGGTCACAAACCAGTACCAGACCATGGACTGTTGTTAACTGGGCCACACAGCAGGAGGTAAGCAGCAGGCAAGCAAGCATTACCACCTGAGCTCTGCCTCCTGTCAGATCAGCAGCAGCATTAGATCCTCATAGGAGTGCGAACCCTACAATGAACTGTGCATACAAAGGATCTAGGTTGCTTGCTTGCTCCTTATGAGAATCTAATGGCTGATGATCTGAGGTGGAAGAGTTTCATCCCAAAACCATCCCCACTTCCATGAAACTGGTCCCTGGTGCCAAAAAGATTGGGAAATGCTGATCTAAAGAACCAAATAAAGAAAGTAAAGCAGATGATCAGTCTCTTGCTAAAAGTAGCCCAGGAGTTTTAAACTTTTACTCCATGATCATTCCCATTATATTTTCAGCCAGTATTTCTCAAAATGTTTCACATTTGTACTGTTACATATCCTTATTAAAGCTTTAGAAAATGAAAGAACATATAGCTCACAATTCACCATTTTCTCTGGCAAACACCTTCCTACGCAGACAAGGGAGCCATTTCTACCATCAATGATCTGAAGCATAGGTGGCACAGAAGAGAAAAGCATGAATTGTAAGTGGTGTAGAAAGTCTGTGAATAACACAGAAGTTTTACATCTCAACAAAGTGGAAAAAAAAACGAGAGGAGTCTGCAGGGCAAAGGAAATGACAGATTTGGTTAAGAGGATGTGTTACGCAATAAAGCTCACATCACTGTATTACACACACGTATGTGCCCCAAACTTATAACAGATTGTTTCATTCAATAACCAATCCTATCTTTACTAAAAATTTTGATATTCTGCTCATTACACAGTAATTTAGTCCTTTAAAAAATATTGCAATAAAATATTTATCTTGATTATTGAGCTTTTTCTTGCTTCCTTAAATTTTGTGATTGAGGTAAGTCCCTCACTGGTCTTATCCTCCTTGCCTTGGTGCTGACAGGTAACTATCAGAAAGAAACAAATGTAGGATAGAGGCCAAAAATAGACGGAACACAATGAGAGGTGATAAATATAAGATATGACCTAAGGCAGCAGTCCACAAACTTTTTGGCCTCAGGCATCGGCTTCATGGAAGACAGTTTTTCCACAGACAGATTGTGGGGAATGGTTTCGGGATGAAACTGTTCCACCTTGATCATCAGGCATTAGATTCTCATAAGGAGTGTGCGACCTAGATCCCTTGCAAACACAGTTCACGATAGGGTTCGCACTCCTATGAGTATCTAATGCTGCTGCTGATCTGACAGGAGGCAGAGTTCAGGAGGTAATGTTGGCTTGTCTGCCACTCATCTTCTGCTGTGCGGTCTGGTTCCATGGACTGGTACTGGTCTGTGGCCTGGGGTTTGGGGACCCCTCATCTAAAGGAAAAAAAGACTAAAAAGTTTAAAGAAGAACTAAGGTGACAAGTGATGAAAAGAGGGCTGACAGAGCTAAGTTAAAAAACAAAACAAAACAAAACAAAAAACAGAGTTAAAAATGGGGGAAGCAACAACAAAAAGCCAGGTTTAAAAAGTCATGGATGGCTCATGCCTGTAATCTCAGCACTCTGGGAGGCCGAGGTGGGCAGATCACGAGGTCAAGAGATCGAGACCATCTTGTGCAACATGGTGAAACCCCATCTCTACTAAAAATACAAAAATTAGCCGGGCGTGGTGGTGGGCGCCTGTAGTCCCAGTTACTCAGGAGGCTGACGCAGGAGAATGGCGTGAACCCGGGAGGCGGAGCTTGCAGTGAGCTGAGATCATGCCACTTGCACTCCAGCCTGGGCGACAGAGCAAGACTCTGTCTCCAAAAAAAAAAAAAAAAAAAAAAAGGACGGACATGTTAAACAGATTTGAGAAAAGCACAAAATGAAAGAAATATAATAATGTAGAGTATCAAAGGAGATAAAGCAGATAAAATAACTTTAGCTGGTGTTTTCAAACATGAGAATATAACACACATAACAGAAAGACACACTATGCCCAGGAAAAACAGACACAGAAAGATCAACGCAAATATATATTCTGTAAGGTTAATTAATTTCAAGAATAAAGGAAATGCTGTAGGACACTGTTTCTCAAGCTTTTTGCATTACCACACCCTGTACCCCAAAATTAAATACTAAGGATAAGATTTTTGTCCATTAGAATTTTGGGGGCCATAAACCATTGTTTTATCTAAGATTTCACCCCTTCTCAAGAACCAAGTATCACCACCACTAAGAATGCATGCTACAGGAAAAAGACATCTATAAAAAGGTGGGTTCCATATTTTCTCATGTCAACATTCACTGTTAAGGACAAAAAAATTTCAAAAGGTGAATAAATCCATGGCACTTATATCCATTCCCTACCAAAATAACCTTATAGGAACAAAAGAGACATAAATGTCCAAAAGAAAAAGAAAAAACTTATCAGCAAAATTCACAGTTGGAATGTGGTAAATGACTTAAAAGGTGTTACCAAAATACCAGGGGTTTGGTCTAGGTCCTGCTGCTCACAACACAGCAAGCCAATCACTGAGACAATGATTACTGCCAGGGAAGAAGGCTTTAATAGGGTGCTACAGTTGAGATGGGAGGTCTCAAATCCATCTCCCTGACTGACTAAAATTAGGGGTCTATAGAGCAGGGAAGAAATATAACCATGTGTGGAAACATAAGAATTAGGGAGGGGTAAGGAAAAGGAGTTGCTCAACAGGAAGCAGGTGGTTGGTTAGGCACTCATGCCAGGTAAGAGTTCTGGCATTTCATTGTCCAGATGCAGTGATCTGGTAAGTTTTCAGTTCTTTGATACCACCTGGGAGGCCTGATGGTTGGCTTCCTGAGAAAGGAATTCAGATAAGACAAATGTAACTTTCTCAAGTTTCAAAACTAGAAAGGTCAAGTGCTAGGTTTATGCAAAAGAAACCATAAACATCAGTTCTATAGGAAAATTGGATCAGTTTCACAGGCCTGAGAAAACTGAAAATTAAAAATCTACAAGGGAAAAGAAGACAAAAGAATCAAGCCCATT